ATCTATCGTACATATCAAGAAGTCCTCCATTAATCCATGTTTTGAATATTGCTTCCACATATTGTCCAGTTTCTTTTGTTGTATATTTAGAAATCCTTGATAAAATCCAAAGAAGAATCAGTAATATTATTGGCCCTGAGCAAACAACTCTCGTCAATTCACAATTGAATTGTCCAGAGATGTAACCGTAATTTCTATGTTAACAGTTTCTTTTCTTGCATTTCTCAAATCTGGAACTCTTTTCCGGTTTCATGCTTTCCCGCCAATAGTGAACTTCAAAAATGTAAATGCGATGTCAATCCCTATCTTCTATATTGTTGATTACACTTCTACTGTTCTCGCTCCATAAGAATTTTTCTCATTTTTTTTTATTCTTTTACACTGAGTAAACACTTGGGCCTTAATGGCTTTACTGCCTTTCATGTGATTATATCAATAAAAAGAAATGTACTAAAACGAATTAAATTATCTGAAAATAGTAAATAGTTATAATTAATGAAGGAAATCAAGATAATTTATTCGAAGTGCTGCTGCTGCTACTGATGCTCCTGCTAGCAATGATGATGATGATGATGATGATGATGTCAGTACCAGGAGCATTATTTATTTATTTATTTTTATTTTTGTTTTCTCAATTTCAGGGAATTTCCAGCATTATAAACTATTCGTCATGGAAGTGGGAAACAGAAAGACGTGACGACCCGACGAGGACAAATGCCAGGTCAATTGTCGGACTGCATTTAGTGCAAACCAATCTGCAATGTTTTGTCAAATGTAATTCGAGATTCGCATTAGCAAAAACTAAATAAAGACATTTTCCCCCAAATCCCAACCACGCTCCTTCACTCCCATTTTTTAAATCTAAATACAAAACTAGAAGATCTTCGAATATATAATACAGGTGCAAGATCCTATGAAGACACGTAGGACACGAGGACAATATTCACTGAACCTTGGCCATATATATATATATATATATATATATATATATATATATATATATATATATATATGTATGTATGTAAAAAAGCTTTAACGTAAGTACATACATTTATATTTATTTTATTGTATGTATGCTTGTAAATGTGGATTGGGATTTAAAACTTTAGGAAAATCTTGATGATTTTTACATACAACCATAGACACACATACACAGACATATCTATCTATCTATCTATCTATCTATCTATATATATATATATATATATATATATATATATATATATATATATATATAATTTTTAAATAATTATAAATTCTTGCATAAAGTCTATCTCTCTCATTCTCTATCACACACACACACACACACACATTTACACTACAGTTCAAAATTTTGAGAACATGACTGGTAATTTTTTTAAAGTAGTGGTCTTATATTTTAAATGAGAGAGAATTATCATACGTTGTTTAAAAGTGCTAAAAAAAAGAAAACAAACATGCATTAGTGATAAAATTTGGATCTCTTTAAATCAACCTCCTTTACTCTTGATTACGGCAGGACAAAGTTTTGGCATTCATTGCAAATGTTTCTCAAAGTATAAGTTTCATAATTGATTCCGTTCTTTTTTTTTTTTACTCTTTTGTCAAATTCATCACATGCTAATTCTGGGGTTGGTTTCAAACTTTCCTAGTGAAGACGCCCGCTCAGTCACATACATGTTTGTTCAACACCCACAGTGACCACCTGTGTTTATTACTGCAATTTCATTACAGTTTCTGTAAAGTAATCAACAATCTGAACAAGGCCAGCACGATCAGAACTTCGGTCACTATAACTTGTGACTTTGTGGTAACACAATAATGGAAAGCTCCCAAAGCTCCCCGTCTCCCCAATTTTAGTCACAAGGCTAGGGTCAACACATGCTATGGTTTTCAGGCACTTTCCAAAGGTGCCGCTCACGGGGATTGATATGTTACCCCACACCGATAACACGAAGAAGTTAACTTCCTGGCAAATAAATCATGGCGAGATTCGAATTTTTATATATATAAGGTACGGCTGTTAATTTTTAATTTTTTTTTTTTTTATCATGTTTTTGTAATTTTATTCTTTTCTGGGCGTCAAATATGAAGAAATTTTCCTAATGCTTTATACTTACATAAAATAATCCATACATTAAGTTAAAAGTAAAAATAAAATTCATCCTTGATAATGGCTAAAAATATAGCCGAAATAACTCAGACATTTGAATATTTGAACAACTTCTACATAATTTACGTCCAGAAAATTAGGAAATCATAAGAACTCAAGAAAAATTAAGTGAAAAAAAAAGAAGTTCAACCAAGCTCTGTTTAATATTTTATTGAATTTTTTCTCATTTTCGATTATTATCCTTTCTTTTTTTTTTTTTTTTTTGCTGGGGATAAATGTAAAATTTAGAGTTTTTCTGATTTTATTTGATTACTCCGACCCATACAAAATGTCAAAATGTCTGATACACTTATTTTCCTTTATTGTTAATCTCTGCCCACAAACTCTGAGAGTTCCTTATACACATGATTGATATGATTATACGTATTTTCGAATTTCATTTGTAGCTTTCCCTAAATTAGAACAACACATTTAAAAATAATTAACCTGACAAACCGTGCCAGTTCTATTTAACATAACTGCTTCCTTTCTTTCTTTCTTTTTTTTCTTTCTTTCTTTCTTTCTCTCTCTTCCTCTTTCTTTATAAAAAAAAATTGTACGTCTATTTTAAATAAGATTATAAACTATATTATATGTTTGAAATAATATAAATGTCGGCTTAAAAATAAATCTATTAATTTATCTATCTATCTATCTATCTATAGATATAGATATAGATATATATATAGATATGTGTGTGTGTGAGCTAAATTGTGCATAATTTTAAGCAGATTTATTAAAGAATACTACATACATGCACTGAATCAACTCCATCCCATGCTCATATGTTTGAAATCAAACAAACACTTAAATTTCTTTTTAACCTCTACTGAGTTGAATCTTTTAATTACTTGTTCCATCCAATATCTTATTGGAGTTAAAATGAATTATAAAAGGTTTCGATTCAGGAGTCTTCTTCACCAAACTGTAACCCTTCCCAAATAGCTAGAGTTAATCCTTTGTGCTCGAGGCATCCCCAGACGGTAAGAGATGAGGGGGCCTGAGCTAATTTTGTTCTACTTCTAAGTACACGTTGAAAGTTTAACTTCAATTTCGGCTTGATGCCATATTCCATTCTAGTGGGCGAACGAGAATATCATATGTTGTCATAGACTAATATGTAGGCATGAAAATAGACAGGATATGAAATACGTTCTACTTTGTTGGCAGCCGTGTACAACAAATTCGAGTTACAAGATATATCACCATACGGCCCCTAAACAATTAAATTTAATTCGGTTATTACATTAAAATTTCAAATGCTTTGTGCAGTTTTTATTCAAGACACTACAGAGGCAGCTTGGTGATATGACTTCACAACATTTTTGCTGGAACTGATAAATAAACAGATTAGATTATCCTGTTGGTTGCACTGATTGTGGAGGTGTAATAGATAGCAGCGAGGAATTATAAATCGGAGATCCGATTTCGAATTCCGGTCGACTTTGCAACATTTACTTAGGAAAAGTATGAATATATCTAATCTCCTCTACGATAAACATTAAATAAGTAAGACTTTTATCTAGAAATATTTTTATTTTCAAAACCAAAAACTGTTAATGCAATATTCACTGCGCTTAAATACATAAAGTCTAAGTACCACAGAGGAAATTACACGTGGGTTGATAGTTCTTAATAAAGGGTTCGTTTTTGAAAAGAAAGAAATATCACCTGAACAAGGTCGGAGCGTGCAAACCACCGAAACATCGTGAATATAATAATAAAGATGAGAACAACAGCCCGAACAATGTAAATAGTTACTATATAGACAGATTAGATGAGTATTTAAAGAAAAAGACACACTGTGGCAAGGAGGATTCCTTTTTCTACATCTTAGTATAAAATTGGTAGTATACGATGATGTCAAGTAACGGTTATCGAAAACATATATATATATATTCAGTCGTAAAAGACAAGCTTACACACACATATATATATATATATATATATATATATATATATATATATATATATATATATATATATATATATATATATATATATATATATATAGAGAGAGAGAGAGAGAGAGAGAGAGAGAGGCGGTGTAATGGTTAGCAAGCTTGCCTTGCTAGAACAATTACGACTGAATAGTCAGTTCGATCCTCACTGGGTGCCCTATACTTTCGGCCTTGTGCCACATCTAAGCCGGGCTTAGAAAATCACTATATATATATATATGATTGAAACATGCATTGGAATCGTAATCACGATCAAATTCAATCGACGTACAAATTCAAAAAAATTATATTTAATTTATATGTCTAATGAATTGGAGCGTGAATTATAACCATGGAATGTTAATGTTTGAGCCTTTATATTATATTCCTACTCTGTCCTGGACATTGAGTTCTACCTGGATTCTATCCTCTTGAAATTTATTCATATATATATATATATATATATATATATATATATATATATATATAGAAAAATATAGTTTTAAGGTGTGCTATATTTATGGGATCAAGTGCTCATTATCAGAGATAGAGCGTATGTAAATATAAATATAAAAGTGAATACTGAAGTCAGCACTCAGAGGGGACAGGCTGTTTCATGCTGGATGCATTTATATATATATATATATATATTGACCACTAATATTAGCAATATATATGTGTGTGCGCGCGTGCGTGCGAGTGAGAGAGAGATAGAGAGAGAGAGAGCAAATAAATGAAAAAAGTAAATCTGTTTTGTGATACGTTTCGTTCCGAGAAGCATCTTCAGACAAGTAACGCTATTTTTGTATGCTGATTTATGTTATACTAAGTGGGAAAATGGTGAAATAGAGATACAAATAAAACGAACCTTAAATCGAAAAGTTAAAGATACCGAGATGCCCAAAATTGAAAGCTTAGGATAACATCACGTTGAAACAGTGGCTCCCGTACGATCATCGAAGTGAAGCATCTTCGAGCCCGGTCAGTACATAGGTGTGTGACCGTTTTTGAATACCAGGTGCTGTAAGTATGGATGTGCGGATGGGTTTTTTTTTTTTTGTCGATTTCTTGCTTTATCATTATAATTTTTTATTATTCTATATTGTATTAGTTCTCATTTAGTAATTTTTTCTATCATCCAAAAAAACATTTTATCTTGGGACAATAAAACACAACTCTTTTCCTTATGTTTCTATTAATACAACGTCAAACAGTTAAAAAAAAGTCCTAAAATGCTGAAAAAAGGGCAAAATTAAAATTGTGCAGCAACACAAAAAAAGGCGTTTAAATATGTCAGTATTATTTTTTATTTTTATGTAATTCAGACAACAATTTTATCGCATATATCCCTCACGAATATATATATATATATATATATATATATATATATATATATATATATATATATATATATATATATATATATATATATATATATATATATATATATATATATATATATATATATATATATATATATATATATATATATATATATATATATATATATATATATATATATATATATATATATATATATATATATATATATATATATATATATATATATATAGTGGCTTATTATTTAATTAAATTATTTTACAATATATTAATATAAAACGAAAAAATATATTTACATATACCACCAAATATGAATTGTTTTTAAATCGAAATGCCTGTACAATAGATATCTACAAGTGAATTTCCAAGTGCTTGCAGCCGTAATAAAATTGCTGTGGTAAAGATAATATTAGCCGTTTCCTTATAAGGAAACATTCGGCATTCATTGACCGAACAGTCAGTGCTGCTGTCGGTTGAAATTTATACAATCATTCTCTTAAAAGAATATTTGAAGAAAATATGTTTGTCAAGTCCAATGTCATTTCTCTTTTTATAGTGGCGACGTTTTCCTTCCTAACCTTTTATTTGAAGTAGTGTCAACAGCTCTAATTTTAACAACTGATTTTAGAAAACTTTTTTTATTCAGCTGATAGTTTATATATTTCTGAAGGGGCTTGATGCAATGCAAGATAGGCGTATGAGAGTTTCGAACTGACGCGGCAATTTAAGAACGTGACTTGAATTTTTATTTTAATGTTTTAGCTTTATAGCAATTTACAGTGTTGAGAGTTTCATTCCAATTCCAGGTCATAGTTTCTGTTTTGGAAAGGTTTATCTTGAGTCCCATATTTCTTGTAATACTTGATAAATGATATTTATTTTCTTTTGTTCAACATCATTGGGAAGCCAATTTATTATACTTAGTGGGGACGCTGAAAAGTTCTCAGTTCAACTAAAATATCTTCCCACCAAATTGTTTGTTTTTTTCATTTTCTCATGTTATAGGAATTTATTCGTGGCGAGAACTTTTTAGACCCACCTTACACACACACAAACACACACAATATACACACACGCTCATAGACACACACACACACACACACATATATATATATATATATATATATATATATATATATATATATATATATTATTATATATATATATATATATAAACTTATAATAATATCTAATATCTAACTAAAATAAGGCCCAAATGGTGTTATGCCACAAGCCTCAATAACTATCGGTATAAATAATGCCCAGCACACATACTCTTTATATATCTGTGTGTGGATATATGATACATATATATTTTTAGCATACACACACTCATACACACACACACACACATATATATATATATATATATATATATATATATATATATATATATATGTGTGTGTGTGTGTGTCTGTGTGTGTATACTAATATATATATGTATTATATATGCACACATATGTGTATGTGTGTGTCGTTGTATATATATATATATATATATATATATATATATATATATATATATATATATATATATATATATATATAATCGTTCATCCTCGTCCTTTTCACATGAAAATATGATTGCGCTTTGAACTATAGCTAGCAACACAATGGTCGCGCCTTGCTATAAGGTATCCGTCAGATGTTTGAAAAGGTATTATGGACAACGGGCAATAGGTCTACAATCGATACGGGACATTAAGCACAAGGTCATCTGGCTCGGCTGACCCCAGCCAGTGCTTGGCAGGACAAATATTTGAACAAACTTGTTCGAGAGAGACAAGAACTTCCCGGCTTGCTCAAAAGATTATAGATTTTTTCTGCGAACTCCTCTCTCTCTCTCTCTTTCTCTTCCTCCTCTCTCAAAGAGAGAGAGAAAGAGAAAGAGTTTCCAGTTTTTATGTTTGTGGATATAAAATTTAGTGTGAAAGAAAATGACAAAGAGGGCATTGGGTAGATTAAGAGATAAAAGGAAATGAACGAGAAAGATGCGAGATGGAATAAAAACGAGTAAATTTAGAGGGGGAAGGTTTCTTGTATTAATAATAACAGCATATTATGAAACTGTAAAAGGTAAAATATGATTCGCAGAATGAAAGATAAAACACTATAAGAATACTAAGGCCGGTGCGTACTACCAACACCCCCTAAATGGAGGGGGCATGCCTGATTGGGTGCCCTAGGCAGTGCTTTGTGACTCTTGCTATCATTTGCTTTTTTTTCTATTAAGATTTATACACGTTACAAATTAAGCTAAGCACTTCTTTTATGCACCGTGTCCTTCAGGACGTAAGCAATCATGGATCTCCGCTTCTTCCTGTTCCTTGTAGCGCTCAATAAGTTTTGTCTTTTTTATTTCGCCTAGATCCTGTTCTAACATCCACTTGCTCAATCCCGTTAACTATGCCACGCGTTGCTTTCTTTTATCTCTCTTTCCTTCTATCCGCCCTGTGAGTATCAGATTTCCCAAGTCCCTCATTCTCATTACGTGTCCCAGAAATGTCTTCTGCCTCTTCGTGATGTTAAGTATAAGTTTCCTCTTTGTGTGCTTCCTCTCAAAACCTCATCATTGCTCACGTGTTCGGTCCATGATATCCTTAGCATCCTTCTGTAGAACCATACCTTTGTTACCTTGAGTCTCTTCTTCATCTTTGAAGAGACCGTCCCACATTCACTGCCGTAAAGGAGGACAGATATCACGTAGCAGTTCAGTACTTTTTTTCTTTGTTACCAACGAAACCCTTCTGCCTCGTAATACTCTGCCTAACTTTTGGGGTATGTCCTTGGCCATCCCAGTACGTCTTCGGATCTCAGCGTCGCATTTTCTGTCCTCTGTCAGAACATTTCCCATATATTTCAATTTCTGCACCTGACGATTTTAGTGTCCGCGACCTGTGAGTCGCATTTCGGGTTCATCTTTTTGCTGATGACCATGCCTTCTGTCTTCTTATGGATTATGCATAATCCCTTCTTCTCGTTCTCCTTCTCCCTGTAGGAGGATTTGTTGTCTCGTTTCTGTGTCTGCTATCAGCACTGTGTCATCTGTATATCTTATGTTGTTAAGATTGTGGCCGCCAATGAAAAGACGAACACATTTCGTTGAGTTTGATGTAATCCTGGGTTCTGTTTTTGTCCAAATCTGTGAATTTGTTTTTCTTATGTTAGGACTCGAAAAAAGCTGTATAAAATTCTTTATTTTTTTAATCCATAATGTTTAATGTGTCAAAATTATTCAACTTTTAATAAAAAAAATCTCAAGATGACTTTCAAAATTGCGGCAAATCATTGATTTTTTTTAAAATAGCTGTTATAATATGTAACTAATTTGTATTTAGATACATTGTATTTATTTTCAATTTTTCTAGTTGAATTGTTTATCTATATTGCAGATAATCTATTCTTGTATATAATTATGTTACCATACGATTTGAATTTTATATGAATAATACCTTGTGATGTAATAGAGTCGGTAGCCCCGGGTGATAGATTTTTTTGGTGGGGAGGGGGGGTCTGTATCACAGATTCTGTCAGGGCCTTGCACCGGCCCTGAAGAAAACAACACTCGAGGGAAAAGGTAATAAATATAGACATAATGTAAGAAGAAACGCAAGTCGTAGAGAAATTATATCATTTCAAAAGAGTGAATTATGTCAAAAGGATAGATAAAAAAAAAACTGAGAGACAGAATAAAGAAAAAGAAAGAAAGTGATTGGAAGAATAAGACTGAAAAGAGAAACGAAACCAAACGAAACCGCTAACAGGAAGTGAATGAAAAGAAGGTAAAAAAAAAGAAATTAAAAAATAAAAGAGAGAAAAAGAAGGAAATAAAATAAAAACAACGAAGACGAAAGAAAACTGAAAGTAATAAAAAAAAGAAAATACTGTAGAAGAAATAAACAAAAGAAAAATATATTAAAAATAAAATTAAAGGAATAAATCGGATAATATCAAAATAAAAAAAAGAAAAGAAAACAGAAAAAAAAAAAGAAATCAAGAGATGGAATGAAATGAAAAGCCAAAGAAAGAACGAAAGAAAGAAAGGAAAAGAATAATATTGAAAAATGAGATAAATGAGAATAATATAAAAGAAAATGCTTAAAATAGCAGATGAGGACAGAAATAAAGGAAAAGAAGAAAAAAGAAAGACATTACAAATAAAAATTTAAAAAAAAAAGAAAATCAAAAGGAAAAAGCAAAAGAAATTTGAAAAAAAAATTATTAAAAGAAATGAAAATACTGTAGACACAAGGAAATAATAGGGAAGAAATGAAAATACATTGAAAATGAAAAAAAAAAATGGTAAAATAAAACAGAAAGTGAAAAATTGAGAATTGAAAAAGAAAAAGGCAAGAATGATAATGGAGAAAAACGAAATATGAAGAAACAAGATGAAAGAATAGAACAGAAGAAAATAAATTTAAAATAAAAAGATTCAAGAAAGACAGACAGAAAGAAAAAACATACACAAAGATAATATAATAAAATATATTTAATCACAATCCGCAAAAAAACTTTTATAATTTTCGTTCTGTTCTATTTTTTAAATAATTCTAAAAAGAAAAAGAATTTTGGTTGATTATTCATTTAGGTAAATACATTCATTTAAGTCAGAAGAATGACGTAACATAATTTATTTTTATTTTCTTCTTTTTAATACTTCTCTCTTACTAAGTAGAATATCAC